GTTTTGTGCAAAAATACAGTTTATGATGCACCACAATTTGATATATACAACCCAAAAAACACATTTTATGATCATCTTGCTTCAAAATGTGGAGCTCGAATGTGATAAAATGAATACAAAATCAAGAATATTCCATAGTATCTAGAAGATTCCACTAAATTTGAAACTGCAAGAATGAACGTGTTGGAGTAGCTTCAGAGGAATTCAAGAATTGGTGGAAAGAGAGAGACTTTAGTTTCGTTAATTTGAATGGGTTTTATTTGAAGATTTCCTTTGAGTTGCTTCTCTCTATTTTCATTTTATTTTTTGAATTATTGTAGAATTAAATTAATATTCCATGAATTAATAAATTAAAGATTTGTTTAGTAGTTGCATGATTGAGATGCTTACTTCAAAAGACAATTTCTTTATAGGAATAAAATAACAAAAATTAAGGGTAAATTACAACCAACCCCTGAGGTATGGTCAAATTACGGAAACCCCCCTCTTGTTTGGATAATTACAACGACCCCCTCAACTCCTCAAATTTAGTGAAATCTTCGAGATTATATGGAATATTATGACTTTTGTACCTGTTTTATCCCATTCGAACTCTACATTTTGAAGCAAGATGATCATAATATGTGTTTTTTAGTTTGTATATATCAGATTGTGGTGCATCAGAAACTGTATTTTTACACAAAACGAGTACAAACTAGAATACATTCCACGAAATCTAGATGATTATGTTTAATTTGACACCATAAGGGTGGAAGTGTAAGAAAAAATTATAGTTGAGGGGGATAGATGTAATTATCCAAACAAGAGGGGTTTTTCCATAAATTGACCGTACCTCTGGGGGTGTTTGTAATTTACCCCAAAAATTAAAGATATTATTTTTGACGCGTAAAATAATAATATAGTGAATATATTTTTATCATTGTGAGTTGTTAATTAATTAACATATTCAATAAACTTGTATAAATTAATTTGAACAGTTCTTGAAGCTATAACGTTGACTTCATTACAATATTGCAACTAGGATTTTACCATCTATATCACATTTGGACCATTTCTAAACGTGCCTTACTTTCTATATGTCCATGTCTCATTCTAAATCCAGCACATTACATTGTAAAAGAATTATGCTTACATAATAATTCGCAACTTTCGATATATCACTAATAATTCACATTTACATATTGAAAAGCAAGTTCCCTGTAGATGTAGATAACAATGACAAACCTAGCAAGCAAGAAGTGCAAACAAATGGACAGATTGCTACAGGTAGAGCCATTTGTGTAAAGAGTGTCCAACAAAAAAAGAGAATTCCATTTATAGATACCATGAAGAGGTTGCTAATATTTTTCTCACTCGATGATACCAACCTTGAATGGCATAAGACTCCGAACAAATTTCACAAGGAACCTCTGTTAAGTGTATATTTTTACACTTAATCGTACCTTTTTATTTGAGCTTTTGGTGTGTTTTAATGATAATTGGTGCTTAAAAAGTTGATTTATTGTATTTTAGGTACAAATTGAAGAATTGGAAAAGTATGGGGTCAAAACTACAATTTTGGAGAAAATATGGGCCAAAAGTGAAAAAATCAAAATTCTGAAGATGTAAAGCTCGGACCCCCATCCCAGTTTTAGTTCAAATTGTGAGACCCCCGTCCGAGACTCCGAAGTTGCGCAGTAGAGGGATTTTAATTGCACAAGGAAACTGCCTTCTTCCCCAAGTTCTTCACCCTATATAAGACCAAACCAAGCACACAATTGATGATATTTTTTACGCAATTTGGAGAGCAACAAAGCAATAACGAAGACGAAGAATTCGAAGACTCTAAGCATAGATTTATCGTTTATGACTTATTTTATTTGCGTTTTTCCTTTAATCATGAGTACCTAAATTTCTTATTTCTAGGATTTTATTTGGAACCCTATGTGGGATTTATGAACCCTTTTCTATGATTTTATGCAAGTTTTAATTCCGAATTATTTCTTCTACTTGTTTTATTAAGTGCATGAATTTGATCACCTTATGTGCTTTTATGTTATTGTTAATCGCATGAATCGGAAGATCGGGTTAATAATTAGAACTGTGGTAGAAGAGCCTTTGTGGTATTAACATTGGAATATAGTTAATCTATTAGGTAGCCATTATTGAGATTTGTGCTTAATGCTGTGTTCTAGAATTAATTGCGTAGGAATACAGTAATTGAATCTAGAGTATTAGAATCGTAATACACGCGGAAGCGGGTTATGATTATTTTAGCATCTCGGGTTAATAATCCGGGTTAATTGCTTGCATAATTGAAGGAATTAGGGGAGTAATAATCACATAGGGGGAGAATAAAATCCTAGGCTTGCTTATCTTGATTAAATCTTCGTTTTAAATTGCTTTCTTGTTTTTGTTTGCTGTTTAATTTAGTATAATTTAGTTAATTCTCTCTAAATTCGACTGTGTAGGGTGGGCTTGATAATAATTGGTAGAATTTAGCGTCTAGGATTAAATAATTAAATATTCCCTGTGGGTTCGATATCCGGACTCAATTGTCCACTATATTACTTGTACGATACGTGCACTTGCGTGTAGGTTTTCGGCCAACAAGTTTTTGGCGGCGTTGCCGGGGAATATCTTAATTATTTATTTTATTCTAGCTCTAGATTTGAACAATTTTCACGATTCACCCATTTAATTTTTGTTTTATTTTATTTTTATTTTTAGGTATTGTGTATGCGTAGGAGACTCGATCTTGCTAGAGAACCGTTTGATCCCGAAATCGAACGTACTTTTCGAGCCGCTAGGAGACTTCAACGTGCAAACAATATAATGGAGGACGAAGAACGCAGGGCAGCGGGTAATTTACTCGGGGCCAACGGAAACCAAGTCCAAGAACCACCCCCTCGACTCCCATTACAACCAGCAGCTAGGCCACGGGCACTTCAAAATTACATAATCCCGACTCATGACGGATTCCGCCCAAGCATCCAATATCCACCTATTGAGGCGCACAATTTTGAGATCAAGCAAGGCCTCTTGACGATGCTCCAAAATAATGGGTTATTTAGTGGATTGGCAGGTGAAGATCCCCATCTTCACATTGTCAATTTTCTAGATACCTGTAACTCCCACCGTCAAAACGGCGTTTCCCAAGAGGCGCTTCAATTAATTCTCTTCAAGCACTCCTTACAAGGAAGAGCTCGCCAGTGGTTGATGTCCCAAGCCCCCCACTCTATCTCGTCGTGGTCTCAACTCCTCAACCTTTTCATGCAGCTCACCCGAGAAGGACGAGAGAATCCGACGAGAAATTCATAATTTTTTCCAAGAGCAAGGCGAGAAATTATATGAGGCATGGGAGAGATTCAAAAATCTTTTGCGGCAGTGTCCAACACATGGAGTCGAACAATGGCGGCAAATCCACATCTTCTACCAAGGGATCAACGAGAATGCACGAACCGTTTTAGATGCCTCAACCGGAGGAAATTTTATGAGTCAATCGATACCGTATGCATTTATCATGTTGGATCAAATTGCTCAAAATCGGTTTGCCAAGTCAAGCGAGAGGACGGTTAGTGGAGCTAAGAAAATTCCCGGAGTGTTGGAGTTAGATGCAATTACGGCCCTTCAAGCTCAAGTGACCCAAATTGCTCAACAAAATCAACTCCTTCTGCAGCACATCAAAGCAAGTCCACCACAACAAGTCAAAGCAATCGATTCACCATGTTGTGAAATTTGCGGTGGAAATCATTACACGCTCCAATGCCAACAAGATGTGGAGTCGCTCAACTACGTCAACAACGCGCCTCGTCAATTCCAAAATCAAGGGTGGAGATCGCAAGGGCGATATGGAGGAATCAACAACGCCAAGGATATCAAAGACCTCAAGGACAATTCCAAAATCAAGCCCCTCCTCAACAAAGCTATCAAGGCAACAATCCACCGGCCCAAAAATCAAACACGGAGGAGATATTGGCCCAATTCATAACCGCTACCCAAGCCTCGTTGCGAAATTTGGAGAATCAAGTCGCTCAATTAGCTTTGAATCAAGAGAACCGTCCGCAAGGAGCATTGCCATCGAATACGGAAGATCCTCGAAAGCAGAAGTTCGAGACGTGCCAAGCTATCGATTTCAAGATCGAGAAAAAAAAAGAAATTCAAGTCAAGCCGCAAGTCACTGTAGCCGAATGGGTCGACCCAATCCCATATCCACAAAGATTGCTAACGAAAAAGATCGAGGTTGAGACGTGCCAAGCAGTCACCTTGAAGAACGGTAAGCAATTGGAGGAAGCCCCACGAAAAGAGAAGAGAAACACGGTAATCGAGAAGCCGAAAAAGAATGAGGAAAAAGAATCATCTCATGACGAGCCACCATCGACGGTGCCTTCACAAGTCTTTCAATTCCTTATCCTCAAAAGTTTATAAAGAAGAAGCTCGACGCCGAATATCAAATATTTTTGGACAAGTTAAAGGAAATTCGCATAAATATTCCTTTCATTGAAGCACTTCAAAAGATGCCAAAGTGGGTGAAGTTCCTCAAGGACCTCGTCAAGAAAAGTAAGAAATTGCAAGCGAACGAGATGATCCAACTCACGGAGCAAATTAGTGCAGTTCTTACTCGGCCTCTTCCACAAAAACTCGGCGATCCAGGTAAGTTTACTATCCCTTATACTATAGGAGGTAAAAATTTTAGATCGCTCATTGATTTAGGTGCTAGCATTAATCTTATGCCGTACTCTACTTTTAAAAATCTTGGGTTAGGAGAAATTGAACCGACGGCTATAACTCTTCAATTAGCCGATAGATCTTTAGTTTACCCAAAAGGTATTTTAGAGAATGTGCTAGTGAAAGTCAATAAATTTATCTTCCCTGTTGATTTCGTTATACTAGATATAGATGAGGATAGGGAGATACCTCTTATCGTAGGGAGACCGTTTTTAGCCACGTCGAAGACGCTAATTGATTGTGCTAGTGGTGATCTACAATGACTGTGCATGATCAAACAATCAAATTCAATGTTTTTAGTGCTAATAAAAATCCATGTGATAATAATGATTGTTTTGCTATTGAACTTATGGATTTTACAACTCATGAAAAATTTGATGTTTTGAACTTGGACAATCGGAAAGTATCTTTGAGTGCAGGGGATGATGGCAGAAACGGGAATCAGACGGAGCAAGTTTACTTCATGGACTCACTTTTAAATCCTCTGAGAGAAAGTCATACGAGTCGAGGTCTTAACGACGATGATAATGCAAGGAAGATGTTGCCACCCAAAGACTCGAGCAAGTCACGAGAGAAGGATGAGTCAAGCTATTGTGGTCGTAAGGAGAAAATCAAAAAGGAATTGCACAAAGGACAATTGGTGTTATTGTGCAAATCCCGTCTTTGGTTATTTACAAGGAAGCGCAAATCAAAGTGGTCGCGGCCGTGTATTGTCCAAGAAATTCTTCCTCACGAGGTGGTCAAAATAAAGGAGCGAGATTCAAATCGCGACGGGGGACGTAAAT